TGAAAATTGCACCTTTCCACGTGAATAGCTTCAACTAGCATGTCCATTGATGAGGAAGGGTTACCCCTTTGGCCATACACTACCAACAGCAGAGATCAAATACAAGAAAATTATGAAACTTCAGCCATGCTTTGACATGAAAGCTCTATGTAGAATTTACTCCTGTTGACACGCTCCAGCCCAAGAGTTGAAAACCTGAGCCCAAAATAGGGCACTTCCAACACAAGAGTGGAACAAACCACCAAGGAGAGTGTTTCGAGAACTTTCAGTCACCTACGCATATATCCACAGCTTGGTCACTGAGTTGCTGCGCGGGCTGTACTTGACCATCAAGGAAGTACCCCCACCCTTGCTTAGGGCCCTGTTAGGGTTACCCTCCATAATTAGGGTTGGCCTCCGTTAGGGTTAGCCGTCATTAGGGTTGGCCTCCGTTAGGGTTAAGCTCGGTTAGGGTTGGCCCGTGGAAACCATCAAGTCCTTCGGTCACTGCTGATTTCTTGAAAATTACACACAAAACAGCATGAACAGTGACAGAGTTAATTGTTTTCCAGAATGTCCACATGATTGCATGGGTATTTACCAGTGGAGCGTTGCTGCCAACAATCAAATGTTTCTCAAGTCTCATAATTAATAAAACTGCAATCCCTGGCTTGTTCCAGTCTTTTCACCACTGGTATAACAAACGCAAACGTGAGAAATGATTTTTCAATCCAGCCGACATGACATCCAGGACGCCGCCATCTTGGCAATATAGGATGCACTGAACCAATTCAAGCTCCATTGAAAATAGTGTAAAATCAACAAAGTTTGGAGCCCCATGGCAGGCAACTGAAGTCCCTGAGGCCTCTCAAACAAAAAACAATGTGTTGTTTGGTCCTTTAGGTTTTATTTGATTTTCAATTTTTAGTAGATTAACCAATGAATTTTTTAATTATCCGCCCAAAACAAACTTACCCCCCAAAAAGTGAATGTTGCCGAGCCCTCCCAGCGGCCATTTTTCAAATGACACCCCTCACCTTCCTTGGGCTCTTCTGACTAATTTTCAATCCCATTTTTGTCTGCTTTGCCCCCAGATGGGTGCCCCTGAATTTACAGAGATGATCCTGGGCCATACTGACACAATCCCACCATTTCTTGGCCCAAACAGACCCCTCTTTTCGAAAAAATCTCAATACTTTTTGTGCGCCTCGGCCTGGCGGAGAATTTTCCTTGAATTGGGACACTGCACCCTTAGATTCTTGCACACGACTCTAGCAGGAAGTCATGTGACCCTTTGAGATGGAAGATTTTCATTGGTTGAGTTGTTCAACCAGGGTGCTAGTGAGAGTCTTAGCGGCCCGTCACCGCTACGTCC